TCTAATAATATTAGTCGTACCTCTTTGATGACTTTTTGTTGCTGGATCGAGGAGAGTCTTTATGTGAAGAGCGTGAGGATGTATCTTTAGAGTATGATCGGTCGGAGCGTTCTGATCTTTCTGAGCGCTCTGAACGGGGTGAGGATGATCGGCCTCTTCTGCTGCTGCTCCGTGTGGGACTGGGTGACCCGCTGTGACGCCGCTTCCTATCAACCGTAGGGGACAAATATCTGTCAGATAGGAAATTAAATGAATCCAATGTATTATGAAGTACACCGAGAAACTAGAGCTACTTATTGATTAACTTGACACCACACTGCAATCTAACGGTTTTCTCACCTCTCCTTCCTGGTTGGCGTGTCCTCCTTCTCTTTCTCCTTCTTCAACTCTTTCAACCGTGCCTCAGCTTTCTCCTTCTCTTTCTTCTCCCTCTCCTTCTCCCGTTCAAGTTTCTCCTTCTCTTTTTCCTAGACAAGAGGAAAGAAATAAATTACCTCCCAATCAAGTCCTGCATTTGATATCATCTGTGGTTAAGTGTTCAGAGCCTAATTCAATACCTTTTGTAGTAGTTTATCCCTGTAGTGCTCCACCTGCTCCTGAATACTCTGGCCAGGCTTCTTAGGTCTTTTCCCGGACTCGAGCTCGTCCTGGAACTTCATGACTTTGACCTGTGCGGAAAATACAAGCAACAAATTCAGAAAAATGTTGAAAACAATCAACACATTATGACATGCTGCCACATGCAGTATGAGAATTGTGGAGAGAATGATAAGCACCTCTATCTCTCTGAGCTTGGTGCGCTTCTCCTCATTCATTTCAGACATCTTTGCCTTAATATCAGAGTCATCTCTGATGGGGTTGGAGTAACTCTGATTATCTTCTGATCGAGGGCTCCTGTCATCATCATCACTGTCTTCCTCATCCCTTCAGAGGAGGATACAGTTAATAAAAAAAAAAAAAAAAGCAGTGTCCTGGGGTATTTGAAGAGAAAAATGCTCAAAAGATACTGTACACAAAAACAAATATAACTCACTTTTTGGCTTCTTCTGGTTGTTCAAACATCTCCCATTTCGAAGTTGTCACAGCTGAGGAGCAAACAAAAGGCAATTAAGAATCAACAGCCAGATATGTACAATAGCAACAACCATGCTATCCACACAAGTACAACTTAACTATAAAAATATGCTCAATTTCCATATATTACAACTGAATAAATTTAAACCCTTGATCCTTAAAGTCTCACCTTGAGCCTCTAACTCTGCCTCGTCCACTGCTTCCCATTTCGAGGGTGCTACCTTGAAGGCTGTCTCCTTGGATGCATCGACTGTAATCACCAGGAAAATAATACATGAGCTGCATACAGTGGAACATGTGGACTGAGATCATCATTAACAGCCATGTTAAAGATTTGGTGTCAGTTTCTGCACCACTCACAAGGTATTCCATCTATGTCCTCTTCCATGGGCTTGATAGGGACGCCATCTAGGTCATCCAGAGGGGCTCCGTCGATTGGTGCCCCGTCAATGGGCCCTGCGTCGATGGGCACCCCATCCACATCCTCCAGCGGAGTGCCATCTACGTACTCTCCAATTGGAGCCCCATCAATGTCCTCTGCTACCTCAGCCTGAGACAACGATAGTAAAAAGAGATTCAAGTAAGGACTGAAGTAGGTGTTGAAAGCCAAGTTCACATCTGACAATTTTCAGGGTGTTGCAAGGGTTCAGTATTTCTACCTCATTTACCTCCACAACGAGGGTTGGAGGCTCCTTCTCTGCAGATAGATTAACCAGACCCAGGAAGATGTTCTGCAGCTTGATGAGGAAGGGGTCGGGGTACACAGCCCAGTCCTCCCACGCCCGGAAACACGACATGACCCGTTGCTAAAAACAAGAAATAACTAAGTGAACTGGGTCATTGACAATGTACATTATCCAGCTGGTGAAGTCCACTGAGCAAAAATAGGTACCTTGAAGTTCTCACTCTGAAGGTGGCCTTGTATCGTTTTGTATGTTGCGTTGAGGTCTGAGAAAATCTGACAGAGCTTTGTCTCAAAACTATTAAGAACAGAAAGACAGCAGGTATTTAAAGAAAGAAGTAGTGACGTGGTTACCTTAGATAGACAGTGACACAAACAACTTACTATTTTCTGTAGTAGGATGCATTGGCTACTTTGGCAGAAGAGTTGTACAGCACATCAGACACTAGATATAACCTTGCAATCTGAAACAGCAAAGAGTAAACACGTTAATGCTTCTATCAGGTAAGTAGCTTTTGGAATTTCTTGGTCCTTCTGATAGCAGAGGGTCAGCGCTACGCCTTGCCTTCTTGGGTAGAGGGGTCTTTAGGATGGAGAGAGACTCTGTGATACACTCAACAATCTCTTCAGCAGCTTCAGCGTGGCTGAGACAAAACAGCATAGCTTCTGCAATGTCTCCCCTCCTGGGAGTCAAACCACGGAGCATCTCCTCTAGTTTGTCCCGCTCCCTGTAGAAATGAAGGATAGTTAATATGAGTGACAATTACAGCTGCATTAACAGTAGAGAACTTGACCCAACAGCTTAACAAGCAATGATTATGCAACTTGAGACCTCACTGCTATCCAAATGTACAACAATAAAGGTGATGATCTTACTCTTCTTTCAAGCAGCCTTTCTTGCTGGCCTCCTCTTCTTCCTCTTCTTCCTCCCCATCATCATAAGGACCATGGAGGTACGGATTAAGGGGGGGCGGACGCCACAGAGAGCCATTTTTAAACATCCTAAAGTCTTCTGTTCGCCATTTGGCCGGTGCTTCACCCTGAGAAAGTGATAAATTGCAGTAAATATCAAAAAACAATCTGCGGGACTGTGATCCTACAACATCATGGTTTCCTTCTGTGTCAGCTTTGATGCGGTCAAAACTTTATGTTAAACAATTTAATGGTGAACACACACCTGTAGTATGGAGTAGAGCTTCCATCGGTAGTAGACATGTGCTGGGCTCTGGTTCTCAAATAAAAACCTGGATGAAAACAGAACATTCCCAGCTGTTATAACTCTGCATAAACAACACGTTAACTGCAAAAAGGATAACTGCTACTTCATTTCTGATGTTCAGCTAAACTCACCTGTACATGGGATTGTTGATTTCTCTGTTCATGATCATGGCTTCAAACATTGGGCCTTCACGCACCACAAACTCGATCATTCGGTGGATGAGAGAGAGCAAATTCCTACAAGAAAAACACAGTTAAAGCAAACGGATTCAGACTGGACGGACTCTTGAGCACTTCTAAAAGCCTGCCCATTAAAGATTAATTTATGCTTGGTGATTTGACACTCACAACAGTTGCCCTGCAAACAACATGAGGCATGTTTCAGTAGGAAATGCTGCAGGGTATAGCTGCAGCTGTCCTGTGCATTAGGATAGAATTGAATAGTGCACTGCTACAACATGCCTGGCAGAAGATGTTGCCCAAATTACTTCATAAACGACGATATCTGGTTATGTTAAAGGTGATATTTAATATCACCTAGGATTAAAAAAAGGCTGAGGTGAGATATAGCCTAATAAACAACTGTCCAAGAGTGTCACAGGACCAGGAATAAATTAACCCTATGACTATGCCTCTGGGCCTATGTATAACATCAATAAATAAATGCCAAAAATCAAAACCTAAAATATAATCTTGTGACAGCAAAACATTCACACTGAGCAAAAAAAAAAAAAAAAAAACACCTAACAAATCAATTGTTTAATTGTGTGTAGAAAAAAGTCCCATCACGTTCATGCCTGTGTTCATTGAGGCTACAGTGCAAAAGGTTTTTAATTACGCTGCACTGCTTGCACCCTTTCTATGAAATCTTCCTACATACGAATTTCATAAAATGGGGAACAAGTGAAGCTGTATAAGTTGGGAAAGTAGGAGCAAGACATTGATAAGACACTGTATGAACGGTAACATTTGTCAGTACAATGCCTTTCAATTCCCACTCATCTCCTGACTGACGTGAAGTGAGAAAGCAGTGCAGGATTCTTGGCCTGAAATAGATTATATAGGTTATCTACTGGTGGAGTTGGTACTGACTGAATACAGTGCAAATGGGATCACTAAAGTTCTGCTGTGACAATTTTAGGGCGGAAGTAAATGGTGCAGGCTGCATACAATTCACCTAAAGTGGCCAACAAGACAAAGGATGTCTTTCATTTGACAACACAGATCACATTTACTTGTATTGGAGCCGATCGTACCAATGACGGGGTAAAATTCAGTATACTTTCCCAATCCATCCCATGATGCTTTTCAGGTCCCTCGCTGCTGCAGACAGTTCAACTTGTGCTGCTCACCAAGGCCAATGTCAAAGGTCATATATAGACTAATGCTGGCAGGTTTGGATTTGTTGGCAGGGGCCAGATTTACTGAGCTCCCGATCGAGTGACAGAGGCCAAGGGGGTAGACGGTCTGAGTGAGCAATGGTCAGAGAGCAGGTTCTCACAACTACAGACCTACAATCAGCAGACCATGTATGTAGCAGAGTACCACGTCACTAAAGTTGAGCATCACAATAAAAGGTCTATGTATGGAGTGGAACTGTGAAAGTAATGATCTCTGGCGACTCTAAATAGCATATTTATTAAGCTCTATAATGATGTTTAGCTACAGATTTGAAGTAAATATGAATGATGGTGGGATGTGAGAGGTACAAAACAAACTTGTCAGTCAGTAGTAGTCTATGTACTAGTATGAGGACATTGTACGATTGCCTCAACCATTGCTCATCCACACTGACCAGCCCCCTGTAGCATGCAGTGATCAACTGATCAATCTTTTAGCTTCATTATGGGATGTTTTTTTTTTTCTAAGTTTGTACACCAATTTAAAAAAAGAAAAACATGTACCTTTCTGTTGGGATAACCACTTTGACTATGGCTTGCGACAGAGTCTGTATATGAAGTCACATCAGATAATAAACATAGAATGTGAGTATTGTTAAAAAGGCAACAGGTGAAAAATATAAAAAATGCATTTAAAAGTGCAAAAAACAACAACTTTCCTTTACTGCTCTCTGTTTTACTAAAGGCCAAACATCCCTGACACTTAACCACATTAGCCATAAACACCTTTCTGTAACACTGAGCATTTTCCACACGCTAACACTTCATTATACCCACACTTTCATATACAGTACAACTACTTTACTCAGTCAACAAGACAAAAGCTATTACTTACAGAAACTAAGGGTAAAATTTGTGCTGACTGCTCCTTACAAAGGCTAACATCTTACCACCACAATTTACAAAACACTGCCATTACGCATGAGAAAATCCTAGGCTGACATATTGAGTTACCTTCTCAAACTCCTCCTTGTTTTTGGGTGGAGGGAGCAGGGGGGCATTGGGGTTCTTTAGCCTCTCCCGGGGCTGTGCATTGAAGGGTAGGCCAGAGGGAGGCGGTGGGAGTGTATGCTCCATCATGGAAGGAGGGATGTAGATTGGATGAGGTGGAATGGGCACACCTTTGCCCCATCCTAATTTCATCTCAAAGTTCATGATCATCTTTCCTATAGAGGGAATAAATACATAAGTATGCATATAGACATACAAGGGCTGGAAAGAAGTAAGCCAATTATTAATATAAAGAAATACAGCTTAGTACCATTTAAGTTCTTGAGTGCTCGCTCAGCATCCCTCCTGTTCATGAAAGCCACAAAGCCACAGTTTCTCTCCCGAGCCCTTTCCTCATCTGTCCTCGGCCACATGATTTTCACACTGGCCAGTGGGCCATAGCGACCAAACTCTTGACACAGCATCTCCTCATTCATCTAAAATAAATGGAGAAAATTAATACTTCATATATTGACTTTAGGTTAACTTTTGCACCAGCATACCCACTTAAAATTAAATATTTAAAGCACCTTTTCTTAGATCTTAGAATAACTATATAGGTAAACCAAGTGGCTCAAATCAGGCCCTCCTTTTTCACAACAAAGCTTGGCCTATTAGTACTTTAGTCATACACATTTGGGTACAAAATCACCTGGGGATTGATGTTTCCAAGGTACAAGTTCGTAGTGGATGGATCGCCGACGTCGTGGGAACCTGGTGCACAGTCATCCAAAACTGCAGACACAGAGAAGAGAAAACAATTTCCTGCTGCTGTCTGACTGGACAACATATGTTCTTGGCAAGATGAGGATATTCACAGCCACTGTATTAAGTCAAAATTACCACTGGACGGACGGTTTCTTCTTGAAGAACCATCCGCTAAAAGAAGCAGAAAAGCAGTATAAATTTTGTTTCAGGGCAAAAGTGGACAAAGGGGAAGGGGGTGGAGTAAGGTGTGCAGGACAGCGCCATTTCAGGCCAAGTTAGGACATGTACTACAGTAAAAGCTCTTACATGAGCGTCTTCCGTCCATGCCGGAGAGAGGTTCAAAACGACTAACACGTCCTTTCATCTTGTGTCTTTCATCCCTTTCTTCCTGTATTCTGCAGGAAACAGAAAACATTACACTTCAGCAGAATCTATGTTAAAGTTATTACAACTTTCATACTTTCAGAACTATACCACAACACCTGTAAAACTCTAGTTTTCACCACTACAATCAATTAAACTGTTAATAAAATTCTGTAGTGAAACTTACTGCTTAAGTTCTTCTTTGAAGAGCTCCAAGTTACTCTTCTTCTTCTCCTTTTCAGTATTTTTCTTCAAAGTCTGAAGCAGGAGAGTAAATATCAGCAAAGCAAAAAGAAAGCACTTTAAACTAAAGCAGTAATAAAAGGGAATACTTGCTGACTGTGATAGTACTTACATGTCGTTTGTCTAATGCTAAAAACTGAGGTGGGGTTTCCAAAGGCAATATACTTTTTGTTTGGGTGTCAAAACGTGATTTAGGCTTGTACAGTTTCCCTCTCTTCTCATCAGCAGCTGCTTCCTCTGCAAGGATAGAGAATATGTGTGTTTTCAGTTTCACTCCATTTACTTTATCATTTCACCGTTTCAATTCAGACGCTGCTGTAAACTGTTCTTGTCATGTCATGCTATCCATTTGAGAAACACACAATGCAATTGCTGTACCTTTTGTTGCGTTTGCAATACCTCCGCGGACAAAGGCCTTGACTTTTCCCTCCCCTCCTCCTTCAAAAGCAGCAAGAAATTCCTCATAAATCTCTGCTGCTGCCCGCTCATCTTCCTGGATACAGAAACCATAACCAAAGTCAATACAAACATATAACAAAGAAGCATCTCACAATTACCTATAAATAACAAGATTTTGAATATCCTCGCAAAGGAAGTGAATGCTTACTTTTTTCTTTATTTCATCTTGTTCCTTCTTGCTTAGGGTCCTCTTTGCCACTGCCATTTTGCCGATACTGAAAGACTTTAGTTTGCTCTCAAGCAGCGCCTGTAGATGTAAACAATGCCTGGTTGGCTTTCAACAGGTATTTTATAACCACACACAAAAAATCCCTTCATTTGTTGCTTTAACAAATCTAGGCCACCACGAACATTACAGATGCGTGCAAGTAACATCGATTACTGTTAATGATACGATGTCTAATGAGTGACAGTTGTTACGTTGACAGACAAGTTACGCGGGGTCCATTACCGCAACTCCACGCAACATTTGTAGGTTGTGATTACTAGTAGCATGCGATCGCTGCCCAGACCTTGAATGGTTATTTTCTATGCTGCATTTACTGCATAGTTTATTTACTAAGCTGCAGCTGGACAACATAAAGTAGACACAACTGACCAAAATTAGCCAGAGGCCTAACAAATTATTGGTGCAGCGCCACCGACTGCATGTATTACGCTAAGCGGCGAATGACAAGGAGCTAACACTGAGATACCGTTAGGCCCGAGTTCCAAAATATTACATTTACTATTGAAAATCTCAAATATATAACAACCAAACTTCGCTGCGAAGACGAACTATCTCCGTATCAGATGGCAAGTCAAAAATATTAGTTTCTTAATCAACTGTTTAGACTAGTCCTGCAGCGGTAGCTGATTCTTTAGCGTTGCTTAGCTAAATTAGCCAGTGTGGCAGGCGAACCACCGTTAGCTTTAGCGCGGTAGTAGTTAGCTAACATTGCTGCGCACACTCGTAACTCTGCTCTCTTGCAGGTCACAATTATGTTAATTAGCAAAGTTATCAGGCATGATACTATCAACACAATTTTCTTTTCTACAGGTACAACCTAGGTAGTGCAAGTACAAAGTGTAAATTTCACCTTAGCGCTAGCTTTTTGAGAGCCACCAGGCGCTCGGTCCGCCATCTTTTGTGGTACTAAAATAAAATCGATCGTCGATCAGATGATAGTGGTAAATATAAAACTTCAGGAGTCGCAGTCGATCACCGAGTCAATGATGCCTTTTCTCTCTCTCTCTCTTTTCAGACTTTAGTGGACACGTGACACGACATGTACACGACAATAAAACTATAGTTAAAAAAACAACTAAAGCAGCGTTTAAAAGTGCAATAGTTGGCGTTTTACAAAAAAGTATTGTTTTTTTCAACTCCACTTGTTTTATTATTATACCACAGAAGACAAAAAACTCATTAACCAAATAGCTGCATTGGCATCATAGCTGACTATAATTGATATCTAGTTTCTTCATTGATTTAGCTCAGAAAAAAGAAATTAGATATGATGAAACTGCTACTACCAGATTTAGGACAGCAGATGGCGCTCCTATTATATTTCAAGTCAATTTCTCTAACCTGTGCATATTATTCTGACAAGCGACTATGATGATTTCAAATACCGAATTTTTAACTGTTACAGCTGCAACACTTTGCATTTCTATTGGAGACACTAAGCTGCGTCATCTAGTTGGGGATAGGCCATCTATAAAGTCTCCACCATATGTATATGGTCCAGATTGATTGGAATGTCAAAGCACTCATATTAGGCCCACTTTTGAGTCAAGTTTATTCATGCCACATCCTCCAAGGCTTTTTGAGGCCAGGTGCCGCATGAAGCTACTGTGAGACCCCACACCCTCCCTGCGCGTCTTTAATCCTTTTTTTTTTTTTTTTTTTGGAAAAACATCACCCTGTGCTCCGTCCCTCCTACCACGCCGAACAAACGCTATATTCATCTGCTGGAGCTTGCAGTTGCTGAAACTCCCTGCAGGAACTCCTGGGTACTTTTCCCCACCGTTTGAGCTGCTGAGCACAATGCCATTCATGCCACGGAGCGAAAACCGGCGAAGCGCCTGCTCCGTTTACCCAACAATGTGGAGAACATGCAGTATTTTTTGCGCATGGACTCTACTGTTCTTGACAGAAGTCTGTGCGCAGTCTCAGCGGAGGTACACCTTTTTTTTTTATTTACTCACTTCTCAAATTCATTTGAAAGATTTATGAGAAAGCAAGGTGTCAAGGATCCCATGCAGGTCTGTGGAGAAGGAGCTGGAGTTTATAGAGGAATATTCTGCAGTCTGGGCTACATCAGGACATATGGCGCATTGGCGAGGAATGAAATCTGCTTAATCAAGAACAGATCACTTGTCATTTACGTGTTTTTTTT